TACTAGGGCTTGTACAGACTCCATTCAGCATTCCAATCTATTATTCATCAAGCATCATTGGACAATCGGGACAGACATTAAAATACTAGTGGGCTGGTTGTAGTGGCTCATGCCTGTAATCCCAACACTTTAGGAGGCTGAGGAAGATGGATTGATTGAGTCCAGGAGCTGGAGACCAGCCTGGGCAACACTGCAAAACCCAACTCTACAAAAAATACAAAAACCATCTGGGTGTGGTGGCATGTGCCTGTAGTCCCAGCTACTCAGGAGGCTGAGGTGGGAGGATGGATTGAGCCCAAGAGGTCAAGGCTGCAGTAAGCTGTGAGCACTCCACTGCACTCCAGCCTGTGCAACAGAATGAGACCCTGTCTCAAAACAAAAACAAAAACCCCATAAGTGGCAGCATTGCTTGCAATCCCTCTGGGATCACCTTGCCAAGCCTTCTCTTGTTTAGGTCCCATTCAAAGTTGGCAGGGTTCTGATTCACTTGGTTTTAAAAATATATAGAGCAGCACATCCAAATGCAGTAAATCTCTCTACAAATTCAAAAAAAGGTCCACAAACTGCTTTGTCTCATTCTTAATGGTAGCTGGAGCAAGGAGATACCTGAACATGTCACAGACCATGGAGCTCCTAGAAATTTCTCTGAATTGGTAGAGGCTCCTGAATTTTCTTGCAGCTTATCTTCTGCCCCCTAACAAACATGTCTTACCTAAGGTATCTACATTATTTGGTATTTCCTGTTTATCAGGTCCAAGGGGATCATGATATGGTCAAGTTGCCTATAAACTAGATTATGACAAGGAGCCAGAATTGACACAGCTTTTAGGCAAAACAATGAAGGTCTACTGCTATACCTATTTGCTACTTTTCTCTGCTAATTGGATGAAGAAAAAGCATTTTCCAGATTAAGAATGGCATAGTAGGAGCATCAGGCTGTAATAATGTATTCTAATAAAGAGACCATGTAAGGACTAGCAGCTACAATTGTCACCACCTGACACTAAGGTCCATTAATCTTCTGCACAGGCCAACTAGGTGAGTTGAATGTGGCTATGATAAGAATCACCTTTTCTGCCATTTTCAAGTTTTGATCATGGCACAGAATCCTGCAATTCCTCCAGGAGGTTGATAAGGCTTTGGTTTACTATTTTGGTAAGGAATAGGTAGTTCCATCATATTTCACTTGGCCCTTTCTACCACAACATTCCTTACTGCATATGCTGCAAGAGGCAGGGAGGCTGTATGAGGATTCTGCTATTTGCTGAGTAAGTCCTTTACAGTATGCCTTCATGAATTAAGGAAATGACTACAGGGAGAATTTGCAAAGCCATTCGGCAGATTAGAAGACTGATTTAGCCAAAACTTCATTTATTATCTGACCCCTCTAAACCTCCAACCTATTGGTGGAACACAGAGTTATTCAGGTCCCTAAGGATCAGAATCATATCAAAGCCATTGTCATTAATCCTGAAAAGTATGGGTACCTCCCTTTCCCCATTGTAGTCATCTGGGTAAACAACCTCTGATCCCCTTAAGGAAGGTAGAGCAGGAAATTTACAATCCGTACTTGTGGCTGAGTGACAGCGTTTTTTCTCAAGGATAACTGGCCTCCCCAGATATTACTCAATATATTGAGTAAAGCTCAATAAGTTCTGGTTATGTAAACTGGCTAAGGTCTGGTAATTTAATAAGGGGATGTGAATATTCATGTGGTTATTCAAGGTAGACATCTATTTGCAAAGACTAAAAATAATTTTTGTTTATACAGACCAAGAACATACTGGTATGCTTATCCACTTAAGTCTCAGGAACATCATGATGTCTTAGGGACACCTTGGCAACTACTGTCAAGGATTTCTTAATCATACATCCTTATGATCACTCTGATATTGTTTTATCTTTTTTAGTAAAATGCTGTAAATTGGCTTATGTCACTTGGGGACACTGTCATCTCTAAATAATCAAGTAGGCCGGGAGCAATCCCAGCACTTTGAGAGGCCGAGGTGCGTGGATCACGAGGTCAAGAGATCGAGACCATCCTGGTCAACATGGTGAAACCCCATCTCTACTAAAAATACAAAAAATTAGCTGGGCATGGTGGCGCATGCCTGTAATCCCAGCTACTCAGAAGGCTGAGGCAGGAGAATTGCCTGATCCCAGAAGGCAGAGGTTGTGGTGAGCCGAGATCATGCCATTGCACTCCAGCCTGGGTAACAAGAGCGAAACTCTGCCTCAAAAAAAAAAAAAAAAAAATCAAGTATAGTCTTATCTTCATTCCATGTGACATAAAACAGCCACTATAAGGTTTTTAAAAAGAATTCTGGGGTTGCCTTTCCAATATATTCCCCAATGTCTGGTTAAAGAGGTAACTGGATATAAATCCTCTCTTAACATTTTTATTTCCCAAAGTCTTTGGATTTCTTGCTCTACTTTTTAAGAAAAAATTCCTGGCATTCTAAATTTACTCAGTATGAGCTACCATATTGTCTAGGTTTCTGTCAGCCTGACTCAATTTAGTAAAATATTTTTTACCACTTGCAGTTGCTGGAGCTAGCACATTAAATGCAGAATCTCTGATAAGTGTATCCATTTATTAAACTTGAGCCAATCTAAAGTTATATTCTTTCATTTCTGCTCTAAATCTATTCCCAATAATATTTTTCTAAGTTTCTACTAGCACACATTAACAAAATATTGCACTTATTTTCCAATAACTAGTCTGAGATTCTCATTTGTAAAAGTTTTTGGCCCATTCACACTTTCTACCAAATGCTGAATCATTTCAGTGCAGTTTCAAGCAGGAAGAAATGTAATAAAGGAAATTAAGTGTAACAGAAAGACTGAAGGAGCAAGTTCTGGGTTTGGTTTCCTAAAACAATGTTTCCATTAGTGAAGTTACCACTGTTGAGGCCTTCACCAGAAATATGCTGAAAGCAAGAAGCTGTCATTGTTATTGCCATTACTGCTTCTCACATTCAGGAAGCTGAAGGAAAAAAACAATTCATAACACAGAAAGAAAGAGTAAAACTGTTGTTATTCACAGACGACATGAATGTGTATGTAGAAAGTCCTAAAGAATCTACAAAAAAAAAATGATAGAATAGAATTTAGCAAAATCTCAATACATGAGTTCAATGTGTAAAAATCAATTACATTTCTATAAACTAGCGACAATTAGAAAATAAAAATTTTTAAATACCATTTTAGAGAAGCATCAAAAATATCATCTATCTAAAAATAAATGTAATATTAAAAGATCTATAAGAGCACTACAGTATAGGAGCAACCACAGACACTGCTGAAAGGACCTAATGACATAAATAGAGACATTCTGTGTTCATAGAAGATTCAGTATAGTTAGGCTATCAGTTTTCTTCCCAAATTGACTGACAGATTCAAGGTGATTTCACCCAAAATTTCAGTAGTCTTTTGGTAAGAAATTGACAAGCTGATTCTAAAATTTATATAAAAACACAAAGAATCTAGAATCGCCAAAATCATCTTGAAAAAAAAATGAAGTTGGAAATCTTATACTATCTGATAACAAGAACTATTATAAAGCCTCAGTAATGAAGATAATGATGTATTGGCATAAAGATAAAAAAAAAATCATTGAGCAGAAAGGGAGGCTGGAAATTGTCCTGGATCCATAGAGTCAACTGAGTTTTGAATAATACAATAGGAAAAATAAAGTCTTAACAAATGGTGTAGGAAGTGGTTATCTGAGGATCTCAACTGAACCACAACCCCAACCTCATTCTGTATATAAAATTTTGAGATTATTGGTTTTCTTCAAGTTAATTCTATTTAACAAAGAAAAAATATCACTGAGAGTACAAGAGAAAGAAGGTCCTGATTGTTTGAGGAGAAGGTATGACAGAGTTCTCTAGAAAAATAGTAATGGACCAAGAAAATGTAGTATATCTGTTGGCAGAATTAAAGCCTCATTTTTGGGATTTTTTTCCAATGAGTATGAAAGATACAACCATGGAAAAATTAATGTAACTTTCTGTGTTTTAGTTTTCTCATCTGAAAATAAATACCTCCAGAAATAGTTGTTAAATTACATGAATTAACATAGTTAAAGCATTTAGAACTGTGATTGGCTCAATAAATGCTATCTAACTGGTTGTTGCCATATTATTAGTATTATCATTTAGATAGGTCGTTATTAAAATGGTTAAGACTACAAACTCTGAAGCCAGCCTACACTATTTAGGATCTAAGCTCAGCTCCAGTACTTACTAACTATATGAATGACCCGAGAAAGCCATGGAATCTCTCTGTGCCTGAGTTTCCTCATCTGTAAAATGAGAATGACAACCATAACCTACCACATGGAGTTTCTTTTGTGGGGATAAAATGAGTCAGTATGTGTAAAATACTTAGAATAGTGCCTGGTAGTTGGTACTCATTGATAGCTATGATTAAAATTAGCTGTTATAATTCTTAAGACTGTCCTAAATTTATCCTGCAAATACTAGCAAAATTATCCTCGTCTTCCCATCATTTCTTGAGAATAAACTGGTAATCTGAATAGTGTTCATTAACTCATTTAAACCAGTGCAATTCAAATTAGGTAGCATATCCAAGGTCACCAGCTAGTAACTATAACATGATAAACAATTTTAGCATACTGCTTCTTAACACACTATATAATTCTATTCTAAAGAGAAGTTAATCAAGTACAGGTATTAATATATTAAATTACAAATTAGCTATGAAAGCTGCTAGTTAAGTGAAGTTTAGTATACCTTAAAACTAGTAATAAAACTTGAGGAGATAATCCAAAAAAGTGTTGGTGGATAACTTTTTTCCCCTTTTTGAGTATACTGTTACCTTAATTATAAAAACAGAAAAACTGGACTACTATTGATAATACTGATATTAGAAGTATGTTCCTCGAAAACTTAGACATTTTAATCTGCAGTTTGCTTAATCTCAGTAAAAATATTATGTCACAATACCATGTTTAAACAAAAAATTAAAAATAGTACCTGATTGTCCTGTGTTCTACTGATAGCTGTATCATCTTCATTTTTCCAAAGACACTGACTTAAAGGAAATGGCAGATTTGAAAGTCATATTAAAATATGATCCCATGAATATTAGCTTTTCATATTTCATGTATTTTATTTAATGCTCTATAAACACAAATACTGAAATTTTCAAAGTCAGCCTGAGACCATTATCACAGGTTCTTTCAGACTCATTAATGATTCATGTAAAGCTACATTTAGTATGAGTAATAAAATCATATTTCATTTATTATAGCTAAATTCTAGTTCAATATCTATAGCAAGATAAAATAACTGAAAATTTTAGAAGCATATTTGTTTATAGTCCTATTGTAATTGTTCATAAAAATCTGTATTTTAAATTCAAAAGACCGTGTAAAACTCTTGCCTAAGTACTATACATTTGAATGAAATGATACCAATGTGAAAATCAAGCATATTGATTAGTTTACCTATAACTAGGAACGGAGGCAGAATAATTAGTTCTAATGAAGGCAAACAAAGACAGAAATTTTTCTGTCATCAAGTTGTCCTGATGGTAAAAATATTACAATAGAAACAAATCTAAGTTATAAATTATCCCTCATTATCTTGGAGAGGAAAGTTAGCAAAAAACAGTAAAGATCTGAATCAGGGTAATTTTAATTAAAATATCACTAATTTTACTCATATGTTTAAGTAGAAGTCTTTATAACAGTACTCTGAATATCTTTCTCTTTTTTATTGTTTAGATTATGACATGTGGAATCAGTATCTATATTTTATTACCTTTTTTTGGTGTCAAAATAATCATTATCTGAATCTTCCAATGATCTTGGCAACTCAGAATTTCCAATTTGATTTTTTGCAATCTGGCTTTGTTCTGCAGTGGCTTTTCCTCCAGCTGATGCTGATGGTCATCCATAGCAAATAAAGTTCAGAATGTTAAGAAAATGCTAAAATAAAATTTTGTTTTTAAATGTATACATTATAATCTCGTTCTATGTTTCAGAATCCCCACAAACTTTACTATACAGATATAAGGCAACAGTTTCCAAAGTGAATTTCATGAAATATTAGTTTATGTGAAAAGAAAATTCTTTGGTTAATTCAGCTTGGGAAATGCTGAATTAAGCAACATCAAACAGCAACACAGTCCCTTACACAGTCACTCCTATTGCAGGGTTTCTCTGTCTCTATGTACAACTAAATCTGCAAGACGGGGCAGGTAAGTTGGGGGTTTCCTGAAATTTAATTGCCTTTTTTTTTTTTTTAGGACAGAGTCTTCCTCTGTTGCTCAGGCTGGAGTGCAGTAGGTGCAATCTTGACTCACTTCAGCCTCTGCCTCCAAGGTTCAAATGATTCTCCTGCCTCAGCCTCCCAAGTAGCTGGGATTACAGGTGTGTACCACCATACCCCAGTAATTTTTGTATTTTTAGTATAGACAGGGTTTTACCATGTTAGCCAGGCTTGTCTTGAACTCTTGATCTCAGGTGATCCCCCTGCTTTGCCCTCCCCAGATGCTGAAATACAGGTGTGAGCCACCGTGCCTGACCTTAATTGTCTTTAGAAATCCGCATGCCAAAGCATTTTTTGAAAAAGTGCTTTGAGGAAACTTCTCTGGAAAATGCTGGTATAAATACAGAATGTAAAATATCATTTGTTATTTCACATACATTTTCATTGATAAAATCTCCCTTTAACAGAATTTCTTAATATAGGAAAATTACACAATCTATCTTTAAAATATTAACACTAATGTTCTACATGGTCTGTATAAACAAAAGATCCATGAATATGGCAGTATTAATACAGATTTTTTTCCCTTGGAGAAATCATTTTTTTTTTTTTTGAGACAGAGTTTCACTCTTGTTGCCCAGCCTGTAGTGCAACGGTGCAATCTTGCCTCACCACAAGTTCCGCCTCTTGGGTTCCAGTGATTCTGCCTCAGCCTCCAGAGTAGCTGCAATTATAGGCATGCACCACTGCACCCGGCTAATTTTGTATTTTTAGTAGAGATAAGGTTTCTCCATGTTGGTCAGGCTGGTCTCGAACTCCCGACCTCAGGTGATCCACCCACCTCAGCCTCCCAAAGTGCTGGGATTACAGGTGTGAGCCACCATGACCAGCTCACTTATTCTTTTCTGAATAAAAATCCAGAAAAGTGAGCCAAATTAATATTTGAAAAGTCATTTTACAAGAGTTGTTGCTGGGCATGTTGACTCATGCCTGTAATCCCAGCACTTTGGGAGACTGGGCAGGAGAATATCTTGAGCCCAGTAGTTGAAGACCAGCCTGGGCAACATCTCTACAAAAATAAAATAAATTAGCCAGGCATGGTGGTACATGCCTGTGTTCCCACCTCCTTGGGAATGGGGTGGGAGGATGGCTTGATCCTGGAAGGTCAAGGCTACAGAGAGCCATGATCACACCACTGTTCTCCAGCCTGGGCATCAGAGAAGACCTTGTCTCAAAAAAACAAAAAAACAAACAAAAAAACAACCCCCCACCTCCCCCCTACCCCCCCCAAAAAAACCACAAGGCTTGCCACAATATTTTGCAACCTGAAGCCCATATTGGTTTTAGTTTGGCTGCTACAATTTATTTCCCACCTGGCACTGAAACTGTCACTTAAGGACAACAAACAGAGGCTGGGTGTGGTGGCTTAGGCCTATAATTTGAGCACTTTGGGAGGCCGAGGCAGGTGGATCAGTTGAAGTCAGGAATTCAAGACCAGCCTGGCCAACATGGTGAAACCCTGTCTCTATTAAAAATACAAAAATTAGCCAGGTGTGGTGGCGTGTGCCTGTAATCCCAGCTCCTCAGGAGGCTGAAGCAGGGATTACAGGTGTGAGCCACCATGTAACCGCTTGAATCCAAGAGACAGACACTGCAATGAGCCAAGATGGTGCCACTGCACTCCAGCCTGGGCTTGAGTGAGACCTTGTCTCAAACAAAACAAAACAAAAGAAATGGATTTTCTAAAAGATCTATATAATGCTAAATGAATAAAAAATGGACATACCAGCTGTGTAAAGCTAATAGTAAACTACACCACCGCTACCCACCCATAAAAAGAAATAATAATGTAGGACTCAGTGTTTTGAGAACTCCAAAAAATATATGTTTAAAATATGATACAGTCACAGAAAAAGGAGTGATAACCGTGAAACTAAGTTTTGAGCTATGAGCTGTTTGTTGTCAAAGAAGAGAGTAGGAGGAATTTAAGCAAAGAATATGGTATGTGTCAGGAGCAGAATGTATGGAGCATTTTTATCCATAGTGAAAAGTTCAGTATGACTCTAGCACAGTGTTATACAGCATGGGTTTTAGTCAAACACACAAGAGCTGAAGTCCTGGCATGGCCATGTATGACTTAAGTTATTTCTCTTATTTCTTTTTTTATTTTTTGTTCTTGTTGTTTTTCTCTCTCTCTTTTTTTTTTTTTTTTGGTAAGTAATTTCTCTAACTCCTGTTTCCTTATTTCTAAAATGGTATAATGCATGTAAAGCACCTAGCACCTTGTCTAATCCTGAGAAGTTTCATAAGTTTAAGTTTTGGTTTATATCCCACTGCCATTTTCCTCGTCCTTAAGTCTATTTTCCATCTTGTCACCTAAGTTGTTTTTCTAGAACTAAAATCCAATCATGCCACTCAGTTAAAATCTTCAGATGGCCTCCCATTATCTACTAAACTCTAGCTTTGCAAGCAAGGCTCTTATAGTTCAAGTCCCTACCTACCTCTCCAGAAGTACCAGTTCATAGTACTTCTCCCTCCCTTTCCTACCCTCATACTAATATTAGTATTACTACTAATAATAATAGATAAAAATTATTGAAATAACCACAACATTAAGTAAATCCTGAAAGCTTCATTCATATCATGATCGATGAGAAGGAAGCCTTCTGGAGGTAGGCACTAAACAATCTGCATAGCCATACGCTGTAGCCCTGGGTTTGAAAAGTTCTACATGCCATCTTAAGCAGCTTAGGCTTTGGCCGGGTGCAGAGGCTCACGCCTGTAATCACAACACTTTGGGAGGCCAAGGTAGGTGGATCACCTGAGGTCAGGAGTTTAAAACCAGCCTGGTTTTTAGAGATGGTGAAAGCTCGTCTCTACTAAAAATACAAAAATTAGCTGGATGTGGTGGCAGTCACCTGTAATCCCAGCTACTCAGGAAGCTGAGGCAGGAAAATCCCTTGAATCCAGGAGGTAGAGGATACAGTGAGCTGAGATCATGCCATTGCACTCCAGCCTGTGTGACAAGAGTGAAATTCTGTCTCAAAAAAAAAAAAAAAAAAGCTTAGGCTTCAAATAGGAATTAATGCGTCTTCCAAAGGTTTTTAAACAGGGAGATATATAATCCAACTTGTAACAAGCAGAATGATGCTGACAACACTATAAAGGAGATTACAAGCAAGGAAGCTAGACCAGACTTTTTTCTTTTCTTTTAATCAGCTTTCTCAGGTTGAATAGATAAGATGGTTTTTAAGATTTCTTTACCCTAAGAATCCAAGAATTGTACAACAATAATTTCAAAGCTTAAAGTCTGAACTGGAAAAAGTATGAAACCAAAGAAAAGTCAAGATAGTGTGGTGGTTTGGGACAATGATGGGGTCAAGTAGTAAATATGTTACAGCTGAGGCATTTCATAAATATAGAAATGTGCAGCACAGATCCCTGGGGGGGAAAAAACAGAAGACAATAGAGGAAATACCCATTTCAGTATAAAAGTGGGGAAAGCAATACTTCTTTTCTCCCTCTGTAAAGTACTTGTGAAAACAAAGTGTGTATATTCTCACCAGCCTTATTTTTCCAAAGAAGCAGGGGATTCTTACCTTACCCTATTCATGCTTCTATCAAATCTGAATTCTTTCAAATCTGAAAGAAGCATGAATAGGGTAAGGTAAGAATGAATAGGAGTCAGAAAACTGGAAGAAATTATCCTAGATCTGCTAATCTCCTGCACAAAACAGACTAGTATTTTTCAAATAAGTTCCTTCTTGTTCACTGCAAAGAAATGTAAATAAAAAGTTTCATATTATGGCATTAAACACATTTACAAGTAAAATGCTATTAACTGATGAGCCAAACTATACTAAACAGTTAGAAAACTCCCAACGAATATGTTATTTAGTCAAATATAAACCTGTTGATTCTGCTGTTATTGAAAACTGGCTTATTCACAAAAATTGCTAATAGCAAAATGAAAGAATAGCAAGATGTAAAATTAAAAAGTATTTCACAATATAAACATTGTATAAAAACATCTAAAAATTACTTAAAAGCATATTACCTATGTTCTCCCCAAACTTCATTATTTATCATAAATTTATCCTCTAAAATGTCATGTTTCAGAAGGGATACCATCTGTTATCATTTTTATACCATTACAGTTATTGTCTAAGAACACAGTAATTGATTATATATTATTTACTCATTGATATGTTAAGACAGTTATTAATTTGCAACAAATGCTTATTCAGGACTGTGGTCTAGGCACCGTGTTTGACTCAGAGTAAGTAGCAATAAATCCTTGTCCTCAAATACTTTATAATATTTATAAAAATTTTTTTTAAAGACTTCTTTCCAACAAAATGACCAATAAACCACAGAGGAAATAAAAGCTCAAACCAAAACTATTGGAAAAGATCACTTGTATTTGTTTTTGTGGTGACTTACAGATAAAAAGCTTTTTCATGTATGATATCCAATTTTAAACCTCACAATAAAGAATAATAATACTGAATGGGAAATCACCTTGACAGACATATAAAAAATATTGTCAGTACTAGTTCAGAAGATGGATAATGTCTGAAAGTTGTCATGTATATATAAGAATATATATATATATAGTGTGGTAAAGGTGTCATTTGAAATCAGTGGGGAAGGAATGAATGATATTTTGGGATAACTGAAAATGTATTTGGAAGAAATCTATACTACCTTATTCTCTATATTTTCTAGAATGTGGAGCAGAGAAACAAGAAGACAGAAAATATATGACACAATGGCAAGATTATGGTTCAACAGGAACTTTTAGACATTGCTGCTGGGTACAACTGCCTTGGAAACACATGGATGTTGTTTAGTGAAGTTGAACTCTATCATGAACATGAACAATGAACAAAGCCAATTCTCTTGGACATGCACATTTAGGACTTGTGTACAAAAATGTACATAACAGCATATTTGTAATAGTTTAAGCTGCAAACAAACCAAATGTCCATCGACCATAGACAAATAAATTATAATATAAATAAACTGTATGAATATAAAATGGAGCACAGCAATGAAAATAAATAGTGTTACATGTGATGATATGACTCTTATAATGTTGAGTAAGAGAAGCAAGTCCAAAATTATATACATAGAATTCAAAACAGACAAAACTAAACTGTATTATTAAGGAATATATTTCTCAGTTGTAAAACTACAAGGAATTCCTATGATCAAAAGAATCACAGAGTAAAAAGACAAACTACAAATTAAAGTTAAGAAAACAATTCAAAATAAGGACTACTACCAGAGATAAAGAGAAACATTACATGATATAGGAGTCAATTTATCAAGAAGACATAATAATCCTAAATATGCATGCACCTAATAACAGAGCTTCAAAATACAGAAGGCAAAAGAAAAGCAAGAAAATAATTACCACAAAAATCAAAGTAGTAGTTATTTCTACTGGAGAAGGAAGAAGTGTGACCAGAGAAAAACATACAAGGTTGGAAGTTCTAAAAACAGTGACAATGCTACATTACCTTAGAAACAGAAGTTAAACTTCTAAAAGCAATAATAGGAAAAATGCATGAAACTGCATTTAGAAAAATGTTGCTCTGGCCTAGAGTGGTGGTTCACACCTGTAATCCTAGCACTTTGGGAGGCAGAAGTGGGTGGATCACCTGAAGTCAGGAATTCAAGACCACCCTGGCCAACATAGTGAAAACCCATCTCTACTAATAATATAAAAATTATGTGAACATGGTGGTGTGCACCTGTAGTCCCAACTACTCAAGAGGCTGAGGCAGGAGAATTGCTTGAACCTAAGAGGTGGAAGTTGCAGTGAACTGGGATTGCACTCCAGCCTGGGCAACAGGGCAAGCCTCCATCTCAAACAAAAAAAAAAAAAAAAAAAAAAAAGTTGCTGATTGCACTATACATGAGAGCAAAAACATTAATAAAGGGTTGGGGAAGTAAATTATGACACAGGAACTTCTATAATGATATAGATCCATATTGATATAAAATGTTTCTACTTTGAAATAAAGGAGGCTTTAAGAGTCTATGTGTGTTCATTTTTGAAAAATAAAAATATATTTTACAAATAAGAACTGAAAAATAATAACTGGAAAAATACACATCAGAATTCTAAAAGAAGCTATCTCTGAGTAGTAAAATTATCATTAGTCTTTATTCTTCTTTACATTTATTAAGTAAAAGTATACTTTATACTTATTTTCTTTCTTTCTAGAACTTCTGAAAATGAGCACACACTGGCCTCTCATTTAAAGCATAATCTTTTTGGAATAAAGCACCAAGAAATTAATAACATATCAAAACTGTACTTGCAAAGAATTCACAGAATTAGAAACTCAGTCCTACCAAAGTTGGTTTATTTTTTTGTTTTTGTTTTTGTTTGGTGAGAGAGTTTTATGCAAATAGCATTAATTCAGAAATTTGGCTAATAGCCCAGGGTGTGAAATATGACATTATTCTCAGTATGCATGGCAATTTCCAACTTCATTAGCCACTTGACCTTGTACCATTAAGAAACAGTAGGACTCAAGGCTGAATTTTTGTTTGCTAGGTGTTTTTTCCTTTAGCAGTGACGTAGCCAGACAAAGAAAGTAAAGATTCTCATTGAGCATCTAACTGGTATCAAGTAATAAACAATAAATATTAAATGTGCCTAAGATGAAAGAAAGTACTAACTTTGGAACATTGCTGGGTTTAGCATAAATTTAGAATAAAAGAAATGTAACTGATTAAGAATTTGTATATTCTACAGCTTTAATGGATGTTGTCTTTAGTTTCTGGGGGATGCATTTCATTTGTAAATGTTTAGTATACTTGCTTTTCCCTCACAGTTTATTTTTTAATGTAAGATGGTGAAAAAAAAATTCAACTAATTTTTTTCTTATGATTCATATAGTCAGTTTTATGTATTTATGAGTTTAATTTTTATTTAAACATTTATAATCATTATTATTATTTTGAGACAGGGTCTCTGTCACCCAGTCTGGGGTGTGATGGTACAATCTCGGCTCACTGCAAACTTCCCCTCCCTGGCTCAAGCAATCCTTCCATCTCAGCCTCCTGAGTAGCTGGGACTACAGGCATGTGCCACCATACTTGCCTAACTTTTGCTTTTTTTTTTTTTTTGCATTTTTTGTAGAGACGGAGTCTTACCATGTTGCCCAGGGTGGTCTCAAACTCCTGGGCTCAAGTGATTATCTACCCACCTTGGCCTCCAAAGTGCTTATTACAGATATAAGCCACCATTCCTATCACTTTTGAAGAATCAAATTATTAGTAATTGTTAGTAAATTGATAGTTATAATCAGATGAAAAATTTAAAATTCTTTGAAATACACATGTTCCCCAACATTAAAGTTTTTTGTTGTTGTTTGTCTTGGTTTGTTACTGTTTTCTTGATCCTTCTGGTCTCTGAATAATACCAAAGTTTTATGCACTCATCTTTCCTTTCTCTTCCCCTATAGCTTTACTTTTATCTAAAACTATTTTATTACAAAAAAAGTAGGTAGTAGAGTTCATCTAAGTGCTTTAACTATTTTGATTTTGTTTTTATTTTAACATAGTACTTAATTGTTTTCTTTTCCTCTTACCTGGCAAAATTATTTTTTTAGAAATCCCTAAGTGAAATTGCAGCTTTCTTTTTATACTGCCTATATTCGTAAGGCTAGGTTTGCTCAGAGTTTGCTTACAGACCTGACTGCTAAAATATACTATAATAGCCTCTTTCTTTTTCCCATTTCAGTTTAAAATCACCTTCTTCCTGATTCTTGTTAGGAAGCTCTTTCAAAGTGTTTTCTAACAAACTGGGATCTCTTCCAGGTTCCTCCTTGAACAAAGTTACACTAATTGGTCTGTGGATTGTTCCATCAACCTCAGTAACACCATTATTAGTCTGCCGCTCATCTAAAATAACTGTTGATGATGGTGAACAAACATTTCCTAAGTGGTCCATTATAGGAAGCAAGTATAATTCTGGTTGAAGAGCCTAAAACATATAGGAAATTTTAAAAATTAGTTTGTAATTAAAAACAGTGCTGTAAGTTAAAAACTAGCATAAGTTTAAAATGCCACATTTACATACATATGGAGGAGTAAATGATCTGAGTTTCAGTTCTGATTCTTGCTTTTCCTTCACCTAGAAATAAGTAAATGAGAAAAAAATTAAAGCTTTTGCTACATTTTTTTCCAATTATTTTTACCTCTACTTTGTTTTTGCAGAAGGCATATATTTGTGGCCAACATAAAAATCAAATTTAGAAGCTAGTAACTACAGGTAGATTCTAGAAAATGCAGAATATAATGTTACTTTTATTCACTGTATCAAACAGATATTTTATGTCATTTACTAATAATAACTATGCCTACCTCTTACATGGACTATGTGCCTGGCACTATTCTATGTGCTTTACACTTAGTAAAGATTGTATAACTAGGAAATTTCCAAGTTGGGATTCAAAGCCAGGTCATCTGACCCCAGAGTCCAACCTAGAAAACTTTATTTCTTACATAATCAACTCTGTAGAGTTCATTTGTTACTTATTTCACAAATATTGGGGGACTGGGCATGGTGTCTCACGCCTGTACCCCAGCACTTTGGGAGGCCAAGGTGGGCAGATCACTTGAGGTCAGGAGTTTGAGGCCAGCCTGGCCAACATGGCAAAACCCAGTCTCTACTAAAAATACAAAAATTAGCCGGATGTGGTGGCTCCCCCAGCTACTTGGGAGGCTGAGGCAGGAAAACTGCTTGAATCCAGGAGGTGGAGGCTGCAGTGAGCCAAGATCAAGCCATTGCACTCCAGCCTGGTGACAGAGCAAGATTCCAACCAAAAAACAAATCAAACAAACAAACAATGAGGGCTTACTATCTGTCAGGCAGTGTTCTACAAAGTAGGGATACAATGATAAGTAAGGCAAAATCTCCGCTGTCATGGAGATTTATTCTACTTGGGAAAGCAGATATTAAATAAACAAACACAATTTAAGATGGTGATACATGTTTTATGAAAAGAAAACAGAGTGATGTAATAGAGAGTAACTTGGAAGAATATCTAAAAACTAGTTGGTCAAGGAAGGCCTTTTTGAAAAGATAATACTTGAGCTAAGACCCGATTTACGAAAAGCAGCAGCCAGCTATCTGAAAATCAGGGGGAAGTGATTTCTATGCAAGTGCAAGGACCAAAAATCAGAAATGAGTCCGCCATATTTGAGGACCAAAGGAAGATTTCTGTAGCTCAAGTATGAAACCAAGGAGAAAATGGTCATAGAAGAAATTTGAGAAGCAGCCTGTTCCTTAGGCCCACATTATCTCTTGCCTGAACCACTATAAAACATTCCTACTGAAATCCCTGCCTCTATTCTCTCCTCACTTCAATACATCCTTCTCGGTGAGGCCCAATTAATTGTACTAAAAGCTCTGATTCACATATCATTCTTTTAGTCAAAAACTCTAGGGTTTCAGGAAAAAATCCAAACTATTAATCTAAACTTGAAGGCATTCAAGACCTTCAACAAACAACTTTATTACTTGCTCCTCACTATTTCCTTTCATGTCGTCAATGCCCCATAAAAAAATGTACCGTTTATTATTTCTGCGTTTTCTGCTTTTCTATTCCTGTGCTTATCCTATTTTCTCTGCTCAGAAAGCTTTTCTCACCCTTCATCTTTGCAAGAACAAATATTTTTCTTTTAGGATCCAAACTGAAATATTGCTTCTTCCTCAAAGTTTTGTACATCCCCTCTGCCCCTGCTGGAAGTAATCTCCCTTCCTTCTGAATATATAAAATATGATATTTTATTTATTTTATATATTTTAATCTTCATCACTACACTGAGCACTCTTTAAGGGCAAGATCCATATCTAGTTGTCTTCTAGTTTAGTATATAGAAAAACATCAATAAATATTTGTTTAAAATAATACTAAAAGGATTTTAAACTGACCTAAATTACTTTGAAAGTCCCTTGCAATCTGGGATTCTATGATTGCTATTCTGTACATTTATACATCATGAAAAAGAACAAAAAATTATGAGTAAATTTTCTTCTCAGAGGAAAACTGACTTAATGATCAGTAAATTAATATTAATATGCCAAAAGTCATACTAAATAGAACTCTGATGACAAAAACTTCTTCAAATTTAGCTACTGATCCCAAGAATCTCACAGAGCAAATTACAGTGGTACTTTGGAAGAAAATGCCTATTTTTTCCATTATCATTCATGATTTAATTTGTTCAGTGAACATTTAAACACCTCTAGTGCAAAACACCTTGTTAGGCACCGATTAGAAATACAATAGTGAATAACATGAATTCCCTTCCCACAAGGAACTATACTCTAATGGTAAGAGTTATCTGTTAAGCAAATAATCACATAAACACATAATAATGATATAATCTGTTAACTAGAGTGAAATAAGACTACACCAAATTTTAAAGAGTTTAAATATAGAAAATCTTGATTAAGGAAATAAAATTTATGTGGATATGAGAGACCAGAAACTTTGAGATGTGATGTCTCATTAAATTAGAAACTTAGGCTAGGTATACTCTCTACTTAGAGTGTCCTGGCCACTAAGTCATAGCAACTACAAATAGAAGTGTTCAGTAAATATCAGACATCGGCCAGGCATGGTGGTTCACACCTGTAATCCCAGCACTTTGGGAGGCTGAGGCAAGCAGATCACCTGAGGTCAGGAGTTCAAGACCAGCCTGGCCAACATGGTAAAATCTTGTCTCTCCTAAAAATACAAAAATTAGCTGGGTGTGGTGGCGCATGCCAGCTACTTGGGAGGCTGAGGCAGGAGAATTGCTTGAACTTGGGAGATGAAGGTTGCACTGAGCCAAGATCATATCACTGAACTCCAGACAGGGCGAAAGAACAAAACTCAAAAAAGAAAAAAAGTTGACACCAAAAAAATACATTGGAGCCATATTATTTTTACATCAAATCAGTCTAGCTGTGGTACAAGCAATAAGAACCCCATTTTTCTCCAGAACACAAATAACTTTTTTAAAACACTTAAACACTTTCATTTAAATTTAAGAACTATATTAATTATATAACATTTTAAATTGGCATTTCTTTGCTTTGCAAGGAAATTAACACACAAAACCCATTATTTTTGTGCCCAATAACATGCCTATGTGACCTATCTTTGTTGATCTGTATGCTTAATGATATTTCCATTTCATTATGATTGAGATTTACAAATCTAATAGTATTTTAGGGAGCTGAGTTGATAAGCATTTAAGAAATATAATTTGAGAAGGTATGGTCTTTCTCAATCAGAAGGAAAAAAAAGAAAACTTACCACAGCTAAATTATTTCCAATGCATTTCAGAAACAAAAATTTTTCTGCAATAGCTTCTTCACCCAGGAACTCACCAAGACGCTCCCTCAGGGCTTGTAAAGTAAGTTGAGGAGATACTCTGAAATATTATGATATTCATCTTACAATGTCAAATGAAATAGATTTTGGATATACTAATGATTCAGTAACTTTAGTCAGCTATCTCAAACACAAATGTTGATTTAATGTGTCAGATATAGTTTAACATATCATGATTCTACATTGCTGGCATTTTGTAGATCTTCCATAAATATCTCTCAAAATAAATAATTAAAAGTCTGCCTTTAAAATTATGCAAATAAACACTGTTTATAAATGTTTTATAAGGAAAAGGAAAATAACTGTCTCTTTGCTAATCTACTTCCAATTTTTTTTTTTTTTTTTTGACACGGAGTTTCACTTTGTTGCCCAGGCTGGAGTGCAGTGGCGTGATCTCGGCTCACTGTAACCTCTGCCACCTGGGTTCAAGTGATTCTCATGCCTCAGCCTCCCGAGTAGCTGAGACTGCCAGTGCTCACCACCACACCTGGCTAATTTTTGTATTTTTAGTAGAGATGGGGTTTCACCAGACTGGCCAGGCTGGTCTCAAACTCTTGACCTTGTGAACCACCCACCTCAGCCTCCCAAAGTGTTAGAATTACAAGCATGAGCCACTGCGCCCGGCTTCCAAATTTTATTGTTAAAATTTGTTGTGGAATTTATTTACTTTTATACATATACCAAGAAATGATATAGCCACAGACATTTATTAGCTAGTGCTTAAATAATTTTAAAATAATCTAACATCTAACATTGTCAGAGTCCTTATCTTAGCTTATTAGGAATACCTTGCTCCTGAATGTCTAAAATTTAAAACCATCACTTATGCTATCATTCCAAGTTCTTATTTTTCTAGGACCTTATGAGAAATATTAGATAATTCATTCAATCAACACATATTTATTGAGCACCTACTATGTGTCAGACATTGTTCCAAGGTATGGGAATATGGCAGTCAACAAAACAAAAATCTCTGCCCTTATGGACTTTACAACCTAGTGATGGAATAGGAAAATTAATGGAGTAAATAAGTAAAAAAAAAAAATTATAATTCATAAGACACTGCTAAGTACCACAGAGAAAAATAAGGCAGAGAATAAAGAAAGGGATTGTAGCAATGATTTAAAATGCAGTGATTAGAGAGTATCTACAGAAAAAGGTAATATGTGAGTAAAAAGCTGAAAGAGGGCCGGGCGCAGTGGCTCAAGCCTGTAATCCCAGCACTTTGGGAGGCCGAGGCGGGCAGATCACCAGGTCAAGAGATCGAGACCATTCCGGCCAACAGATCCGAGACCATCCCGGCCAACATGGTGAAACCCCGTTTCTACTAAAAATACAAAAATTAGCTGTGTGTGGTGGCGTGTGCCTGTAGTCCCAGCTACTGGGGAGGCTGAGGCAGGAGAATTACTTGAACCCGGGAGGCAGAGGTTGCAGTGAGCCGAGATTGTGCCACTGCACGCCAGCCTGGCGCCTGGCAACAGAGCAAGACTCTGTCTCAAAAAAAAAAAAAAGCTGAAAGAGATGGGAGGGCATATAGTTAGGGCAGAAAACTCATTCTAGACAAAAGGAACAGAAAGTACAAGGGTCCTGAGATAGGGCAATGTGTTCCAGTACAGAAAGGAGGCTGATATGGTTGAAGAAAGTGATGATGAAGATTAGGAAGAGGGGTGTGATCAAGAGATAACAGTCAGATCACACAGTGTTATGTGTCTTTTTGTGAATGTGAAAATACAAATCTAAATACATATAATGATGTTCTTTGTTTATATTTATATTTTTAAACAGTTCAGAGAAAGAGACTTTGTAGATATATTGCTTTAACTACTATTTTCAGACCTTCAGCAGCTTTCTCTTTTTCTTTTTTTTGGGGGGGGGTGAGGTGGGGGCAGAGTCTTACTCTGTTTCCCAGACCAGAGTGCAGTGGTACAATCATGGCTCACGGCAGCCTTGACTTCTGGGGCTCAGAGCAGTCCTCCCACCACAGCCTTCTGAGTAGTTTAGCAGATTCTTAATTTCAGATAACTTCTCTCTTAATTCACTTTGTGCATGATCATAATAACACACAGGTTATGCACTGTTTTCTGAGTAGTAGAACTATGGCCAAGTGAGCTAGTCCTATAGAACTGGTTTAGTTGTTACATAGCACTACATATTGATAGTATTCATTAAGTTAGGAAATGGAAGTACCACATGGACAAAATATTTTTCACTTACAGTTCTTAAATTTTCAGAAAGCATTTTTTTCTGCAGAAAAAAAGACTCTTCTTTCAGGCATATTGTTATATGACTATACAACACTTGCCTCAGAAATCCAGCTGAAATGAAACTGTTAACAACTTCTGTTGAAATGGTATTTAGCTTATAGTTCCACGATCCCTCGGGGACATAAAAAACATGAAGTTCCACCAACTGAATAAATTGAGAAGATCATCAGTTAAAATATTTTTAAAGTGAAAAAAATCAACTATGTCACCTATAATCAAGTTTAATAAGCACAATTGAAAAAAACATGGAATACATACATTCCTCTGAACAAACAAAAAACAGAATGAACTAAAAATCTGTTCTTAAGTTGGTCACTCGGCACTTGGAGTACATTTTCCCTTGGCAGCAATGGCTATGAGTTATCTCAGTATTTTTTTCTTTTGAGACGGAGTTTCGCTCTTGTTACCCAGGCTGGAGTGCAATGGCACGATCTCGGCTCACCACAACCTCCGCCTCCTGGGTTCAGGCAATTCTCCTGCCTCAGCCTCCTGAGTTGCTGGGATTACAGGCACGCACCACCATGCCCAGCTAATTTTTTTGTATTTTTAGTAGAGACGGGGTTTCACCATGTTGACCAGGATGGTCTCGATCTGTTGACCTCGTGATCCACCCGCCTCGGTCTCCCAAAGTGCTGGGATTACAGGCTTGAGCCACATGGTGTTCTTTCTGTGGCCTGCAGTAAGAATCCTAGGATACCAAGACTAGTTTTCTTAACATCAACCTTTACTTCACCTCACTCCCTACCTGCTCCATTCCATTGGAATGAACGTGTGGAATTCTTATCCTTTGTATATTTTCTGCCTAATACAGTTCTGAAGATTGCTAGCTCTCAGCACCTGCAAAAGGCTTAATACTGTGGTTTGGGGAACATACTTATTCACCAGAATTACAGGAAGAACTTAATCCTAACCAAATGACTGTTCTTACATTGGGAATGTCTGTGCTTATATGTAACTATCCACTTTTCCATTAATGTTTTGTTATGACCTTGATTAGAATTTAGAATATTTATATTACCACAACAGAAACAATGATTGCAAATATAGTCTTATCTTTTAGTCAAATTAAGTTTGATACTGCATATTAAAAGTCAAAACATTTAAATGAATATACTCTAATGCAATATTAAATGAGAAATCTTTAAAAGTTTGAATATGACCTACTATTAATATCATTAATTTTATAGAAGATAAAAATAATCTTAAACATAAGGATTTCTTCAAGTTGTTTTTATAAATCAAGGAAATTACTTCTATGCTTTTAATGATGAAATATTAACAATTTAAAATGTTTATATAGATGTGATAGTGCAGTTAGCTATATGTTGCATTTTGAACACTAGAGTATTTAAAAGATTAATCTCTAGCTATATTATTAAACATCTGCAAAACCTTAAGAAATTTAAAGTAAATATGACCTCATCTTTATATAAATGTATTAATATTTGACAGGGGGAAACTATTTCTTGAACTAAACATTTATACATATGCTTCTTAAAAATACACTTTTAATGGTTTTATTATTTCCAGAAAAACAAAGTAGTTGAAAAAATATGGAAAGAGTTTTAAGTGTATATTAAATCTGACATTATTTTAAGGTTAAATATTCCATTTACATGCAAACCCTAATTTATTATAATCTTACTTTCGTGGCTGTAATGGATGTTACTCATCAATAATATTTTAATTAAAACCATTAGCTATTTTAAAAATACATTACAAGGTGTATATATATATATATATATATATGTGTATAATAAGGGCACATACTTTTTCTTTCGCCATAGGCTTCAAAATGATTAGAGATGGCACTGTTGGATCCTGTCTCTAATTAAAATATTGACATCTTGTTCATCATGTATTTTTTTTTGCATTAATACTAAAAATTTTTTTTGGTAGCCCCTTAAATTTTTCATTCATGGAAAGTACCTCATTTGCCTTGGACTAGTCCTGGCTCTGTGAGAGATACAGCCAATAAACAATAAATACTGACTTCTAAGAAGTAAAATTTTAAATTTTTTTAAATTAAAAAAATATAAAACACTAATAGGTAATATACCATATTACAAAGTGGTAATTACTAGAAAAAAAGAATAAGGAGGGCAGGGTAAAGAAGAATCAGAAGATATGGGATGGAGAAGTTTTCAGTTTTAAATAGTCAGGGTAGGTCTCATGGAAGAGGTGAGATCTGAGTAAAGACCTAAGGGAAATGAAGGAATTAGCCAAGTGAAGATCTAGAGGGAAAGAGTTCCAGAAAGAGATAAAAGTATTAAGGTGAGAGCATGCCAGTATGATTGCAGCAGAGAAAGAGTAGAAGATGACAAGTTCAGAAATATAAAGAGGTAGAGGGGAAACACAGAGCACCTTCTGAGCCATTTTCACCTATAAAATGGGAAGCTAATGCATGGTTTTTAAGAGAAACATGAAGATCTGACATATATTTTTATTTAATATAAAAAATTTTAAATATACATACATATAAAAATAATTCTCTCTCTGAATAAAACATTTAAAGTAAATCAGACATCATGACAATATATCCCTAAATACTTTGACATCCATATTCTAAAAATAAGGACCTCTGGTAACATAATCACAATTTCATTTCCACATCTAAAAAAATTCCTTAATGTCAATTAATATCCAGTCCATATTTAAATTTTCCCAATTGTCCTCAAAATGTTTTCTTAATCTGAAATTCAAACAAGGATCACACACTGCATTTGGTTGATACGTTTTTTTTTTTTTTTGAGACGGAGTTTCGCTCTTGTAGCTCAGGCTGGAGTGCAATGGCGCATTCTTGGCTCACCGCAACCTCCGCCTCCTGGGTTCGAGTGATTCTCCTATCTCAGCCTCCCAAGTAGCTGGGATTACAGGCATGTGCCACCATGTCCAGCTAGTTTTTTGTATTTTTAGTAGAGACGAAGTTTCACCATGTTGGCAACGATGGTCTCAATCTCTTGACCTCGTCATCCACCCGCCTCGGCCTCCCACTTTTAAAAACTTTCTTCTTGGAGTTCCCAAACCCGTTTTTTTGCTTTTTTTTTTTTTAACACGGCATTGACTTTCTAAGAGATTGAGCCAGTTGTCTCAAAGAATGTTCTACATTATGAATGTACTTAATTATCTCTAAGGTGTCATTTAACTTGCATCTCCAACCTCTCTTATCTCCTGTAAACAGTTAAATATACAGCCTTAAAGTGACACAGGTTACTACTTGGGGCAATAGTATTTTATAAATAGTGCCCTGTTTTTTTTTTTTTTTTTTTTTGTGACAGAGTTTCGCTCTTGTTACCCAGGCTGGAGTGCAATGGCGCGATCTCGGCTCACCGCAACCCCCGCCTCCTGGGTTCAGGCAATTCTCTTGCCTCAGCCTCCTGAGCAGCTGGGATTACAGGAATGCGCCACCATGCCCAGCTAATTTTTTGTATTTTTAGTAGAGACAGGGTTTCACCATGTTGACCAGGATGGTCTCGATCTCTTGACCTCCTGATCCACCCACCTTGGCCTCCCAAAGTGCTGGGATTACAGGCTTGAGCCACCGCGCCCAGCCGTGCCCTGTATTTTATATTGCATTATATCAGGACATACATAATGCTTTACATTTGAATCTTTCTAAATTTAATTAGTTGGGTAATGGGAATAACAGCTAGAAGAGACTATATGAGGCAAGAAAACTTATTATAAAGTTACTGGAATAATTACAGTGTGAGATGATGGCAACTCATGTGTTAGCAGTAAAGTTGATTAAAAAGTAATCAGATTTTGTATATATTTAAAAACTAGAGAAAATCCATTGGAAGTAGAGTTCAAGAGTCACGTCGAAGAGTCAGAGTCAATCTATTGGAAGTGGAGTTTGAGAGAAGAGTCAAGTAGAAGACTCAAGTACGCAAGAAGAATCAAGTATGACTCCAAGGCATTTGGCCTCAGACACTGAAAGGGTAGATTTCACATCACCTGAGATGGCAAAAAGTCATGGTTAGTACAAATTATGGTTTCAGACATATTAAGATGAAATATCTATTGGCCATCCAAGTGGAGATGTCAGTCAGTCAGCTGAATATATGCATATGTGAATCTGGAATTTAGGAAAGAGGACTGGGATGGGGCTATAAATTTGGAAATCCTTGGTATAAAGTTGGCATTTAAATATATTAGACTAGATAAGATCACCAAGGAATAAGTGCCGGTAGAAAAGAGAACAAAGAGCTAAAATATTTCAAAATTAAGAGGTCAGGAAGAAGATGAATACCCAATAAAGATGACTGAGAATGAATAACCAGGAAGGTAAGATGAAAACAAATATAATATGTATGCTAGAAGCCTAGTGAAACATAAGTCAAGGAAGAGAACATGATTAATGGTGTCAACTGTTGTGCACACATAGATCAAGAATGTTTAGGATAATAATTAACTAACAGATTTAGTAATGAAAGGGTGAATTTATCAAGAATAGTTTTGTTGGAATAATGGAGGTGAAACCTTGATTGCAGTTGATTTAAGAGAAAACAGAGAGAAGGTATTGTGGGTCTGAGATGGTATGACATACTTGTTTAGAAGAGTGGAAGAGTGGACCAGGCACAGTGGCTCATGCCTGTAATCCCAGCACTTTGGGAGGGTGAGGCAGGCAGATCACGAGATCAAGAGATTGAGACGTTCCTAGCCAACATGGTAAAACCCCATCTCTACTAAAAATACAAAAATTAGCTGGGTGTGGTGGCATGTACCTATAGTCTCAGCTACTTGGGAGGCTGAGACAAGAGAATCGCTTGAAACCAGGAGGCAGAGGTTGCAGTGAGCCAGCCTGGCAACAGAGTGAGACTCCATCTCAAGTAAACAAACAAAAAAAAAAAAAGGAAGAAGAGAGGAAGAGTGAATAAATCAATGAGTGGCAGATAGTAAGACTGCCCACAAGAAAAAGATTCCACTTGAAATTCATGGTCATGAATTTAAAGTGAGAATGGTACTTATGATGGTATAAATTTTTCTAGCCACATTCAGCCACTCAGTTGTAGGTATGGAATAGGTGGAGATATGCATTAACCATGTTTGTTGTATTGCCAAGGAACACGATGAAGTGAGAGAGGGGCAGTAAGTCAAAAGTACATGCAAGGGAGTGACCATGATTGCTCTATGGCACTTAAGCTAGATATGGAGGGTACCACCTTCAATCATACAATTGAGAAATAGTAAAAAAGGTGATAGGATCAATGCACTGGGGGTCCCAATATGGTTGGGGTATTAAAGGAAGTGAGCTAGAGACTTGAGAAGTGTAATCAGACAGTGGGCTACACGAAGTTGGGATCATGGTGGAGTCAATAACTAACAGTTTATGTAATTCATGTTTTTGCTTTTATGAAACTTTTCAAAATCGATAAGCAAGTCTTTCTTATATTTTAGTATAAAAAGATTTTCTTACCTCTGATGAGGAAGGTCGACTTGGATTGAGCGACATATTCACTAACGTCTGAATGGGATAATTATCAGTTAGAATTTTTTTTCTTTTTTTATCTTTCTTCATTTAAGTATATTAAATAAAAATTATAACAAGATAGCATTCCACTCATTTCTGGTCTCTGTTTTGTTCAAGAAATAAAAAGGAAAACACAAAAGCTTTAAATAAACTAAAAATAAAAACTTAAGAGTATACACAATCTTCATTATTCTAACTCAAAAGGACATATTACTAGTAAATATGACTGGTAATTGTAATGAAATGACCATAAATGTATAAAACTAAGTTAAGTGATAAATTACATAATAATGAACTTGTGACCAGGACATATTTTACTATTGTAAATCTTTTCTTGGTTGAAAATTAAGTTTACATAAACAGCATTTTACATAAATTAGAAATACACATTTGGAAGTAGAAAGAATTTATGATCCTTGGTTAGGATCAACTACAAATTCTAAGCATGCCTGAAGTTTTAATTAGACTCTTAGCTAGTTAAAACGACTGTAGAATGATGAAAACTGTTTAACCATATACATTTCTTCCTGGGCTTTGATGCCTCAATAATAAAAAACATGAACTATTAGTCCAGATGAAAATGCCAATCTTTAAATATGTCAGGCTTCATTTGTGTATTATTTCCTGTGTCTTTCCTCAGAGGATTTATGGCAGTTTACCAGAATGTATGATACAATTAAAAATATATAAATGTATATAAGAAAAATTAAAAAAAGGTAGCTGAATTATTACTCTAAAAATAATTATCAAAGTAGGATAATCCTTAAGGATATACTAATTGTACCAACACAAAAGCTGAAGCTTTTCTAGATTTCAAAGCATTGCTCTTCCTTGGCTTATGTTAAAATAATGATTTAAATCTAACAAAACTTAGAATTCCTCTGATCTGGTACTGATTATAGCTCTACAAAACCCTAACAAGTACTACTAATTGTTGTAATAGTATCAAAATTAAAAGATTATTTCCTGAAATATACAATCTCCTTAAATTAGTTTTGCATTACTTCCTATATTTCTTACAATAATTAAAATGTGATTAGTCATTTTGACCATGTCAAATGCTATTTTAAGAACACATTAGTACTTTAAGAAAGTATTTATAGATCTATCCAAAAACTCTGTATGCCATTGTATTAATATTAACCTCTATTGTGAACCTAGGCGAAACATGACTCAGATACATATATGGTCACTTCATTATTAGATAAAAATTAATCTATAATAATTATAGCATATGGACATTCATTGATTCATTGGTATGCAAATTAGTAGACTAAAAGTTGTAATTTCTGTTACATATTAAAATTTGATACTTTAATTCAGAACAATTTTTTTTTCTTTGAGACAAAGTCTACCTGTGTTGCCCAGGCTGGAGTGCAGTGGCACAATCTCAGCTCACTGCAGCTTCTGCCTCCCAGGTTCAAGTCATTCTCCTGCCTCAGCCTTCCAAGTAGCTGAGATTACAGGCCTGTGCCACCACATCCAGTTAATTTTTGTATTTTCTGTAGAGACAGGCTTTCACCATGGTGGCCAGGCTGGTTTGAACTACTGACCTCAAGTGATCCGCCTGTCTTGGCCTCCCAGAGTGCTGGGATTACAGGAGTGAGCCACCCACTGTGCCAGGCCCAGAACAAATTTTTAATTATGCAAACTCAAGATCGATCGGTCAAGACCTGCTTTATTGTTGTCCTGTGGTAAACCTATACAGGACCCCACTATACAGGTTAAGTATCCCTAATTTTCAAATCTGAAATCTGAAATGCTCCAAAGTCTGAAACATTTTGAATGCTGATATGGTGCTCCAAGGAAATGCTCATTGGTGCATTTTGGATTTTGGTTTAGGGTAGTCCAACCAGTGAGTATATAATGCAAATATCCCAAAATTTGAAAAAATCTGAAATCTGAAACATTTCTGACCCCAAGCATTCTGGGTAAGAGATACCTATAGTATCCCTTCTAAAGTAATGGCAAAGAAGCCATATTTGAGATTTTAAAAACTCCCTTTATCATTTCTGATAGGACCAATGCTGGGGTCCAAATCCTGGGCTGACCAGAAACAAAATGTTCTGACATGAAAAGATGATCTCTTGGGAATTGGACCTGGGAAAGAGCTTAAGATTCAATCATTAGTAGACATTATTAGTAAGAATATAAAAAAGAGAAGTCATGGGGAGTATCTTAGCCATGAGGCAAGCCCATGTTGTGGGAAAGCTATACATATAGAGAGATAGAAAAAGATAAAGAATAGAAAAAATGACTAAGTAAACTGGTAGTGAGAAGCAAATGGAGGAAGTACCATAGCTGACTCATGTTTATAACTAAGCACCAGAAAGGAAGAATCAAGAATTCTTGGGGCTGAAGTCTCTAGCCTTAGATCTACTTACAGTTTGGCCTATTAGCGTGACAGTTTTGTTTTGGGATTTACATGGGATATCTGCCTCCACTGCTGCTCTGTGTTGATCTTTACAATAATCTCCTCATTGCTTATGGTAACTTGAGTAAGTCTTTGCTACTGAAACCACAAGAAGCTAATTAAAACTTCAGGCATGCTTAGAATTTACTAAATCATATACTATATCCTAACATATAATGTGGAATTTTTTTCCTATTACTAATTTTTTTACTATTACTAATTAGCTAATGAACCAAATGACGCCAACAATTCAAACAAAACGAGACTGATATCTCAATAACCACAAATAAAGTGACTATGAAGCTCTGGTCTAATCTTTCATTTATTACATAATTTTGCTTTACAACTCTGCTGCCAGGAATGAAAAATCAATTTTATCTTGCATGCTAATTCCCATCACTTGGTACTATCTAAAAGTGAATTACTAAGTAGGATCTCAAGGCTAAATCTCAGAAGGAAACAGTACAGAATTTAATTATCACAGTCAACTATGCGTTTGAGGAGTAACTGTTGGTAGATGTATCACCTATCTGCCATCTCTGATCCAGTCTCTCCTTTCAAAATAGTTATCTATCATGTTTTCTCTGCACTTTTCCAAAATGATTTTCAATGTCAGAAGCAGAGCTGAAAATCAAGCTTAAGAACTGGGCCGGGTGCGGTGGCTCATGCCTGTAATCCCAGCACTTTGGGAGGCTCAGGCAGGTGGATCATGAGGTCAAGAGATTGAGACTATCCTGGTCAACATGGTGAAACCCCGTCTCCACTAAAAATACAAAAAATTAGCTGGGCATGGTGGCGGGTGCCTGTAATCCCAGCTACTCAGGAGGTTGGGGCAGGAGAATTGCCTGAACCCAGGAGGCGGAGGTTGCGGTGAGCCAAGTTTGCGCCATTGCACTCCACCCTGGGTAACAAGAGCGAAACTCTGTCTCAAAAAAAAAAAACAAAAAAAACTTCTGACACTCTATTCAGTGTCTAAAAATAATGATTCTAGTCATTTTTATTTCCTGTTTGATTTGATAATATGGCATACAAAGATTGCTCAATATGCTTTTTTTTTTTCTGCTAGTATTGGGATCCCTTTCAGGTATGCTCAATGTACTTTAATAAATGCTGACATTTAATAAATGCTGACATTTTTAATAATAATATAAAAAAGAGAAGTCACGGGGTAGTATCACAGCCATGAGGCAAGCCCATATTATGGGAAAGCTATGCATATTTATAGAGAGATAGAAAAAGATAAAGAATAGAGAAAATGACTAAGTAGGCTGGTAGTGAGAAGCAAAGAGAGGAAGTAACATAGCATGTTTATAACTAAGCACCAGCACTTAATAAATGCTGACATGGGCTATGTTTAAATATATGAATAAAGTAGAATCTCACACAAGATAATCAGATTGATTGGGAGCCAGAAAAGCAGGTTTCTAGTCCCTTATAACCTGTAAAACCATTCATTGGTCTGAGCGTCAGTTTCTTAGTGGTAAATGACTTGAACTCTTCAAGAACCTTTGCAGCTCTTAAATTTTTTGATTACCCAAGGAATGCAACAAGTAACAGGGAAACTTACATTCTGGAATTAAAAAATCAGAATACAGTCAACTTCACACCAGATGATGGGAGAATTTTTTGGCACAATTCTTGATTCTTAAATCACCAAGGCATAAAATCTATCTGATCAGGATAAATTCAGGTTACATATATGTCCTGAGAGTTCTGCTTTATTTGATTCCTGGTTAAGCTGTAAATAAAATTCTAATCCTTTTTTTTTTTTTTTTTTTTGAGACAGAGTTTTGCTCTTGTTTCCCAGGCTGGAGTGCAGTGGCATGATCACAGTTCACTGCAGTCTTGATCTCTGAGGGCTCCCAAGTAGCTGGGACCACAGGTACATGCCACCATAACTAGCTAATTTTTGTAGTTTTGTCGAGATGGGGTTTTGCCATGCTGCCCAGGCTGTTATTAAACTACTGGGCTCAAGCAATGCACCGGCTTCAGCCTTCCAAAGTGCCTAGATTCCAAGCATAAGCCACCGTGCCTGGCCCTGTGCAGGTTTTTAACTTGATGTAATCCCATTTGTCCATTTTTGCTGTTGTTGCCTATGCTTGTGGGGTATTATTTTAAAAAATCTTTGTCCAATTCGATGTCCTGGAAAGTTTCTCCAATGTTTTCCTTTTTTTTTTGGTGAGAGATGGAGTTTCACTCTGTTGCCCAGGCTAGAATGCAATTGCATGATCTCAGCTTACCGCAATCTCTGCCTCCTGGATTCAAGCGATTCTACTGCCTCAGCTTCCCAAGAGGCTGGGACTACAGATGTGTGCCACCACACCGAGCTAATTTTTGTGTTTTTAGTAGAGATGAGGTTTCACTATATGTTGGGCAGGCTGGCCTAAAACTCCTGACCTAAGGTAATCCACCCGTCTCAACCTCTCAAACTGCTGGGATTATAGGTATGAGCCACCATACCCTGCCTCCAATGTTTTCTTATAGTAGTTTCATAGTTTTATGTCTTAGATTTAAGTCTTTAACCCATTTTTATTTGATTTTGGTCCATGAAGAGAGAGAGAGGTCTAGTTTCATTCTTCTGATACGGATATTCAGTTTTCCCAGCACCATTTATTGAAGGGACTGTCCTTTCTCCAATGTATGTTCTTGGCACCTTTGTACAAAACAAGCTCATGCGAGATGAATGGATTTGTTTCTGGGTTCTCTATTCTATTCCACCGGTCTATGTGTCTGTTTTTATGCCAGTACTTTATGCTGTTTTGGTTACTATAGCTCTGTAGTATAATTTGAGGTCAGGTAATATGATTCCTCCATTTTTATTCTTTTTGCTCAGGATAACTTTGGCGACTCTGTGTCTTTTACGGTTCTGCATAAGTTTTATGATTGTTTTTAATACTTCTGTGAAGAATGTCACTGGTGTTTGATAGAGATTGCACTGAATCTGTAGATTGCTTTGGGTAGTTTAGATATTTTAGCAATATTGATTCTTCCAATACATGAACATGGAATATCTTTCCATTTTTGAGGGGTTCTCTTCAATTTCTTGGATCAGTGTTTTATAGTTTTCATTGTAGAGATCTTTAACTTCCTTGGTTAATTCCTAGGTATTTTATTTGTATCTACTGTATATATTATTTTCCTCCAAACTTTAATTTCCTTAACCATTATAAAAATAGAATAAGCTAATTATTTGAGAAAGAAGTCAGAATTGTGAAATCCCCCTTTGAAGAAATTTAGCCTTTAGTTAAACTACGAAGTAAGGCATGTGAATCCTATTTTATTTATTCAAATTCTGAATGGAGACCTAGTAAACTGAAGAACTTAGGGTACTAATTAGTTGAATATGGTGAAGATCTATGGTAAATTTAAATTGATAGAGTTCTGCTAACAAAACATAAAATGACAGATTACTTGGTTGTTTTTTCTTGCCATTTATTGCTAAAAGGATCCCCTTGGTGACAAATTCTTTTTATAACAGGCCAGTCTCCAACCAACTGAACGGTGAGCATCTACGTCTGTACAGTTGGTAACATGTTTGAAATTTTTAGAGCATTGTGGAAGGTCAAAGAACATCTGCTAAACAGAAGTTTACAAGATACAGATAGTTCATAAACTATATTTACAGCTAATCACTTCAGATATAACTGAACTTAAAGCTTACTAAAATTTTTTTTTTGAGACAGAGTCTTGCTCTGTCACCCAGGCTGGAGTGCAGTGGGGCGATATTGGCTCGCTGCAACCTCCGCTTCTCTAGTTTAAGTGATTTTCCTGCCTCAGCCTCTGGAGTAGCTGGGATTACAGGCACGGGCTACCATACCCAGCTAATTTTTATATTTTTTAGTAGAGATGAGGTTTTACCATGTTGGCCCGGATGGTTTCGATCTCTTGACCTCATGATTTTCCCACCTTAGCCTTCCAAAGTGCTGGGATTACAGGCGTGAGCCACCGCGTCTGGCCTCAATGTTTTTTTTTTTTTCTCCTTCTTTGCTATCCTACATAGAATCTTTTTTTTTTTTTAATCTCTTTTTTTTTTCTCTTATGCTTTTAAAGACAGGGTTTCACCATGTTGGTCAGGCTGGTCTTCAACTCCCAACCTCAGGTGATCTGCCCACCTTGGCCTCCAAAGTGCTTGGATTACAGGTGTGAGCCACCACGCCCGGCCTGCATAGAATCTTTAAAGACATGCTACAAAAAAAATACTATCTGGTGTTTGAGACAGCAGTCCAGTCTGTGGTTTCTCAATGCAGCGGTTAATAAAAAAAGCAATAAAAACTTTTTCTGAAATTGTTTTGGCCTAAGAGACTGCTTATTCCTCAACAGCCTCCCTCACAGAAGAAATTATTGGACCATATATTCCCTAAAATCTCTTCCAGCATTAACATTCCACAGTTCTTAACAGTTCAGTGATATATTCTAAAACTATTGTAAAATAAATTATCTTTTGAATAGAGATACTTGTGTTTAATCTTACAAATCTGTAAAGTATGAATGACATTTTAGCATTATACAGTCAACAAAGCACCAAAGGTGAAATGATTAAAATACCGTTTGGGAAAAAACAGTATTTATTGAGATATCCTTCATATTCTTTATACATATAAAATATCATTTCATTCTGAAAAACAAGTCCACGAAGTAAGCTTTATTGTTTATTTGGAAATAAAGCCTCAGTAGCTTAAGTGGCTTGCCCAAGAATACCATGATAAGTGGCAGAGCTAGAATTCAAACCTTTGTTTTAACCCCAATCAGTACGTCCGTACGAATTAAGTAAAATGCTAAACTTACACTGTACATTTTTGTGAACTGATATAAACTGTTGAGTAAATTAGGTTTTGTTGACCAGAGCAATTACACATGCTTTTCTAATAAATTTGAAATGCATTAATGATGAAATTATTCACAATAGAAAACAGTGCATTCATTAGGAGAGTGACTACCCCAAAAGAAATAGGAAACACCTGACATAATAGAAAACATCAGCGCATTCATTTGGAGACTATCCCAAAATAAATAGAAAACAACTGCCCTTAATGCTGTGACATAACACACACATTTCCATGGATGAAAGAATGACGTACTGGCTGAGCCCATGTTGTTTGGTTAGATCCTACCATCTCTCCTAAAAACTTCTTTGGGACTCAATTTCAAGCAGGAGGTAATAAATTACAACGAAAATACTAAAGAGCAAACTTTCCGGAAACACAAAAATAAGCTGTATACAGTGAGCGTTAATTCTCCAGATTAAATGGGTAACAGAGTAGACAGGTGTAATCTTGAGCCAGCACCTTGGCTTCTTCACAATCTTTCAGCAAACCGATACAAGAGCTAAGAGACCAGTAAAGTCAAACATCGAGAAGATCTTTTCTCCAGCGAATCAGCGCCCCTGCAACCCGCCCGCCCGGCTCCGCTGGGTCGGCTACAGCGAACTCCTCCGGTCTACCGGGCTGCGCGAGATGGGGGTGGGGGGGCACTGAGAATGCCCATTGGCCAAACTCGGGTCACAGAGAGGGTCTGTGGTCTCTAAACTTTCTTAACTAGAAAAATGTCAGGGACCTAGCTTACTCAGTTGTGGTCAAGTCAGAGAGACACGCCTGTACGGGACGGGGTGTGTGGGTGACTCACGCCGCTCAGAGGGCCTCTGCCCTCACTTCCCTCAACCCCTCCCGCAAACTCCGGGAGAAAAACTGAGACCTCCTGGTCACCCGCCGCCGAGCCTTTCAGAAACTCCCACAAGCTCTGACTTCCCTCACTGGTTCTCTTCAGAACCCCTCTTAGGTGTTAGCGGCTAACAATAAGCTCGCTCCTTACCACTCCCAAATCGGCCCCTCTGGAGAGGAAAGGAGAACTTAAGCGGGTCGTGCTTGCCTCCAGCAGCCACCTCGCCCACGGACTGCTCCGCCCCTTCTCCTCCCGCTCCTCCACGCTAGCGCTCAGTGCCAAGTGAGAAGCTGAAACAGAAGGCAGGCAAGGCGCGCATGCGCACCGAGGGTGGAGCCGCTGAGCATAAAACCGGAAACTTAGAGACAAAGTTCGTAGCCCCGCCCCCGCCGCGCGCCGCTCAGTTGTCTGGCCCTGTTGACCCACGGCCCACGATCTACCGACCCACGAATCAGCCCGGCCCTCTAGTACACCATGTCTGGCTCCTCCAGCGTCGCCGCTATGAAGAAAGTGGTTCAACAGCTCCGGCTGGAGGCCGGACTCAACCGCGTAAAAGTGAGCAGGGGCGGGCGGCCGAGGCGAGGGGTAGGCGGTGGCGGCTGGGGGGATCCGGCGGCCCAGCTGGCTGGGGCAGGCGGGACACGCGGCTGTGGCCCTCGTTTCCCTGGAGGGGAAGCGCTCTCGGCGGCGGCGATCCGGGAGCGGCCAGCTTTAGAAAAGGCGCCGCGTGGGTCTACGCTGTGGTTTAGGGGGACGATTAGTCCGCCCTTCCGCCCCAGGACTTTCCGAGGCGGGCTGGCCCCTTGGCTGAACCGTGGCCCGCATTCCGGTCCTCCTCCCTCTCTACCTCCCTTGGCCGCCTCCTCGGCTGGCTTCGCCAACAGCTGCGCCTCGGCGCGCGGTCCTCACCCTTCCTTTCCCGCTCTGCCAGCCTCCTGTTTCTCACCGGACAGGGTATTTTCCGATTTTTGATACAGAGCAGACTTTTTTCCCCCATTTTACCTTTCCCAGACCTGCTTCCTTTAGTATTAAATTCTTACCTTCAGCTTCTCTTGTCCATTTAACACATACTTTTAAGCGAATTGTTGCATAACTTGAACTATGGATTAAAGCAGCATTTTTCGAAACGTTCCTGGAGTGTTAAGTTCTGGTCAGTGCCCCATACAACCTCGATCAAAGCGTGCATTTCATACCTATGGCAGTTTGCTCGTATTTGACCTTGGCAATACCAACTCGTCTGCATGCCCAAGAAAGTGATTAGTGTGGGTAATTATTGGTCTTATTTTGGCGTCTGGTATTGGCCTTGTCTTGAGGTATTTACTTTGGGGGGAAGAGCCTTTTGTCTGTGTTGATAGAACAACTTGACATTCAAGTGCTATTCTAAGTATTTCCTGATTATTACAGTCCTAAATGGATTGGCTTCTTTCTGGTACAATGGGTCAGGCTACATGTGAAACACTTCTGCAGTTAAAACAAGAAAATGTAAATCATGTGCCCTGTTGAAAGCAGCCTGTTCCTAAAATGATTGGATTTTATACTCATTAGGCTAGTCTTTATTACTTCCTGAAACGTTTTATGGATGAGAGAGGGTCTATGGTCTCTAAGTTTTCTTAACTAGAAATGTCAAGGACCTAGCTTACTCAGTTGCGGTCAACTCAGAAGGGAAGGGAAATTCTCATTCGTCTTGGTGTAGGATCCCCCTCACTTCCAGTCCTTGAAGTGCTATAGACCTCACTGCAGTTTGGAATCCATTTCTCTACTCTCCCAATTCTTACCTCATCCCAGTGCCAGTGGTTTCTAGTCAGTCTTGGCTGGATTTGGCTTTGAAATTTGAAATCATGCGTTTTTTAACAACCATTATGTATCATTCAGGTGTGCCTTTATCATAAATAGGACGGACCAGGAGAGAAAAAAGTGGTGGCGGGGCAGTGAAAGCAGCAAATTGCACACACTCAGTCTCCAAAGAAAATTACATGAGGTTTTCAGACGAAAATACTCCAAGAGCTTTACCTGGAAAACAGCTGCTGCTCCCTTAACCCCACAAAACTGATTCTACCTTAATCTTCACTAGGGATTATTAAAGCCATCAGAAATGAGTTGCTTTTGGAGTTCTCAACTTCTGGCTGATAAGGCTGTAACAAGGAGGGGAGGGCATCTCACTTTGGGATTTTTAAATGAGCTTTTCATTAGACGTGTTGCTAAATGTGGTTAGGTTCCATTTGTGTATCTGTTTTATCAATAACTGGGCTAGGTGATTTTTGGTGATAATTTTCAAACTAGCACAAGCTTATTTTTAACCTGTATGTTTGAGTGCAGTTGACAGAACTTACCACAAGTGCTTGACTGACTGTCATAGGTATGTCTGGACATTTTTGAGAGTGAAAATGGGACTAGTAATTAGGCCAGGATTGCAGGGTTTCAACCTCCTGGATGGTGATTGTTACAGTGCCTTGGGGGCTAGCAGCTTGTTCAGGTTTTAGAATCTTTGTCTCAGCTTTCCTCACTGCTTGGAATGCTATTTCTCACTGATGGTTATTTGGCTGAATCTCTTGTCATTGAGTCTCAAGTTCAATGTCACCTCAGACACCCTCCCTTAGGTGGCCACCCAGTCACCATCCAAAAGATTACTAATTTTACCACAGTGCACCTTGTCTGTCATTTTCTCTGAACTGTCAGCTCCATAACAACAGGGCTCTGGCTGTTCTTATGTATTCTCAGTACTTCTATGTGGCACATAGTGGTGCTTGGAAAGTTGTGAAAAGGAGTTACATTGGACTCTACCTACACTTTAAACAGAAAATGAACAGGTACTCTATGCTTCCTGTTAATATGAATGAAAACACGAAACATTGTTACAATATTTGGTGAAAAATGACACTGCTGTACTCCTACTTTAGCTACACTTCTTTGGAAGGGAAGGGATGAAGGGGTGTGTAGTCATTAGTAAAATGCTTTTACATAGGAGCTAATAAACCTATGGAACTCACTATCCTGGACTGTTGTATAAGCCAAACACACAAATAGAGTCGAGAAGCATTTAGATTCATCTTAGTATGACGAATTATTTGATCAGGTCGGAGGTACAGCTGTAATCTGCAGGGTTTCTTGGTATAGAGAGCATTCGTGATGCTGTTAAGTCCCTAAGACTACATATCCAGCTGGATGGACTGGACACCTTGCTGTCAGCCTCCTTTCTTCTCAGTTAAGACTGAGAATAAAATGCATGATTGTATCTCCCACTTCTTAAATCTCAGTTCAAGACTTCAGATATTAGATGTAGCTGGAGTGTTTTAGTCACTCATGTTCCATATCTGAACAGTTCAGTTCATTGTTTAGTTGTACTAACAGTATTTCAATGTTATTAAACTAGACAGTGACAGTTTTCTTCCCAGTGTCATGTGACTGAAAGGCTGATAGCAAACTTAAATTTGTTTTTCTAGGCAGCGTGCCTTTAAGAAACTATTGCCTTAAATCTGATTTAAGTGTTAATATACATATACAGAGCCACCCAAACAAGACGTAAGGAACTTATATGGCTTTATGGTTATTTTGTTGATAGCCTACATTACCTTAGCAGACTATATACAAATAGTAGATGTTTAAGTGAGTGAATGCATGCCTCTTTTAATCTGTTTTAGTTTAAAGAGAGTATATATAAGGGTCTGACAAATTTGAGGATCAGTATAGTGAATGCATTCTTAAGAGTGTTTGGCTTTCTAAATTACGTGCTAGTTATCCCATACTATGTTTATTCAAAGTAGCATTTTTCCAGTAATTCTGCTTTCAAGACAGAGTAATAGTTTTCTAGAATGTTGTTGCTCTTTTTAACCTGTAATGCTTTTAATAAAAACAAGATGTTAAGTACCCTTAGGTTTGCACTTGAACAGCCTATTATTAATAAGCAAGATGTGCTATGCTTTGCAAAAAGAAACATAATTGTACTGTTTGTATGCAGTCATCTGATGCTTCTAGCAATCAAGCAAAAGAAAACATAGTTAAATCAGTCTTATTTACAAGCATTAGTTTTAAGTATTAAGAGCTCACTAGGCCAGTTGCAGTGCCTCACACCTGTAATCTCAGCACTTTGGGAGGCTGAGGTGGATCACGATGTTAAGAGATTGAGACGATCCTGGCCTACATAATGAAACCAGTCTCTACCAAAAATACGAAAATTGGGCCTGGTGGTGCGCACCTGTAGTCCCAGCTACCCTGGAGGCTTAGGCAGGAGAATCATTTGAACTTGGGAGGCAGAGATTGCAGTGAGCTGAGATCGCACCATTGCACTCCAGCCTGATGACAGAGCAAGACTCCATCTCAAAAAAAAAAGAGCTCACTATATGACTTAAGTCTTCAATTATTAAATAGTATTTTCTTCTGAAGCAAGAGAAGTACTGTTTTACTCTAAGTACAATATTTCCAGAGATTTGAGAAAACCTTCATTAAAATGTTCTCACCACCTGGCACTTTCCCTCTTTCTTCTATATAGGTTTCCCAGGCAGCTGCAGACTTGAAACAATTCTGTCTGCAGAATGCTCAACATGATCCTCTGCTGACTGGAGTATCTTCAAGTACAAATCCGTTCAGACCCCAGAAAGTCTGTTCCTTTTTGTAGTAAAATGAATCTTTTCAAAGGTAAGTTTGCTTAAAAACAAAAGCCAACATTGTGGGAATAACTAGCCTTCTCTTTGCAGCACTTAAAAGGTCATCCCATGCACTTTCCTTTGACCCTCCATTTCCAGCATTTTTCTGTTTTGCAAAGTGACGATTCATGAAACTTGATGAGTTAGTAGTCATGAAGACTTTTTATTTTACCATAAAGAAGGATAAATTGAGGATTTAATGGCAATAGGGTATAGGAGAGTTACTACAAAATGCCACTACTGTAACAAGCCATGTGTCACTTTTTAGAGCATTGACCTAATGGTCTATGTATCTTGGGAGTCAACAAGTACTAGTTTTGTTTTTGTGTACCTGGCAAACATTTAGACAGTTTTAAACAAATCTGCAATGCTTTTGGGGATTACTTAAAGTACTACCAACTGATTTGGATTAATTCTGATGTTACTGCTCTAACTGAACCCACCTGTAGAACAGTATAGCAAAGATTGGGAATTGGAAATATAAGAGAAAATCAGATGTAACTGAAAAAGCCAGTGTGGTTCAGGCATTTGTACTGAGGTAGAACAGCCTTTATGTTTTGTTCTCATTTGTTGGATTAAAGATAAAACATAAAGGAAATGCAGCATATGAATTTTTGGTGGCAAACAGTGGACTGAATTTCAGAGAATTAAAAACTAAAGACCTGCTGGCTTTATTAGAGCATGTTTCAGTACGTTAATTTGTGACTTCCAGATCAAATGTCACGTGTACAAAATGTATGTTGGTCTAAGAGGTGTGACCAAAAAGGTTTTGGATCATTTAAAATGTAACTCAAGGGTGCTGCCTTTTTATAAATTCTTTGTACTTTAGTTAGGGAATGTACTCATTAGTATTGACCTATGAGAAGCAAATTTAAATAGTACTTAAAAAAAAAAAAAAAGATTTTATATATGGCACACACCCCTTACTAACATTCTGACTCTGCAAAGTACAGGAAGCTGCTTCCTAAAATACGTTGTTACATAGTCGTGCCTTAATTTAAGTTTTATAGGCCTGGGAGTGTCCAGGAAGTCTGTATAAGTACATGTTTCCAGTCTATCCCAGCTGTGTAAGAAAACAGCTTTGTGGGTATTAAGATTTGAAGCAGTTTGGGTTAGGGAAAGAATAATTGGGCATCAAAGCATTGCTTCTCAAGCTTGAACATATGCAGATCACTTTGTTAAAATGCAAATTCTAATTCAGAAGGTCTGAGGTGAGGCTCTAGAACTTGCATTTCTTACACCTGCTGACTTAAAACTGATGCTGATGGTACTAGACCTACACTGAGTGGCATGAATGTAAAGAATTTACATTGGAGTTATGTATGTAAATATAGTTTTAAAAATACATGGTTTTTATAACTTGCAAAACTTAGCATAGGTGATTTAGCAACACGAAATACAAGAAGAATAGAAATCACCATGATCATTACACCTAGAAATAATCTCTGGTAATAAATTGTATTTCCTTTTTTTTTTTTGAGACGGAGTTTTACCCTTGTTGCCCAGGCTGGAGTGCAATGGCATTGATCTTGGCTCACTGCAATCTCTGCCTCCCACATTCAGGTGTTTCTCTTGAGTAGCTGGGATTACAGATGCACACCACCATGCCTAGCTAATTTTTGTATTTTTAGTAGAGACGCGGTCTCTCCATGTTAGTCAGTCTGGTCTCCAACTCTGGCCTCAGGTGATCCGCCCACCTCAGCTTCCCAAAGTACTGGGAGTACATGCGTGAGCCACTGCACCCGGCCCTGTATTTCCTTTTAAGAGGAATTTTTTTTTTTTTTTTTTTACATTCCGGCTTTTAAAATTTTTCCTCTTTTATACAATACAAGGTAGGAGAAATAATACAGAATTAAAAACTGTTAAAACAGTAGAACATGTATGCACAAAAAATGAAGATGACAAGCTATTGACAATGAGGAAATATGTAAAATTAAGGTAGTTTTTATATGAAACATTTTTAAAAACATACACAACAATGGGTGCCACAAAAATGTTTTAAAAATAAGGATCAGTATTTGCCATTTTTCATTCTGCCTTTTTAAAATGATGAATTTTCTTCATTAAATATTCTTTGTAAACAAGATCTTTAGCAGTGTATTAACTATTACTGAATTATACTTCATTGAATATTTTAAGTTTCCAAAATTTGAGGTTCCAGTGAGGTGAAGATTTTGATGAACATCTATGTATACTTAGTACCTCTCTTTCCTTAGTTTTTAGAAGTAAAATTAGTCAACAAGGAGTGAATAATTAAAATGTTTACGATGTTGTACTTGATATCCCTGCCAATATACTACTTTGGCCTTCCACTAGAAACATGAGAATGCTTTTTCCTTGAGACCTAACAAACCTTCGTTTTTTGCTGCTATTTTAGTTGAGATTAAACATTTTTCATAGCATTGATTCTGTTTATGCCTCTTGAACATTTTTGTTACAAACTATCTCAAATTAATACTTTCTACCTTTCCATATCAATAACAAATCCTAAACTTAGTATGTTCGTTTTAATTTTTAATACACCTTTTTTTCAATTAGATTTTTAAAATTTTTTAGTTTATACTCTTAACTGAAGTATTTTATGGTTTGAAAATATAACTTTTGTTTTTTAAGGCATAACTTACAGCTTTGTATTCCATCATATGTGACAACCTTCATTTATTTATCCATTCTCCTACAGAGTTATATTTAGGCTGTTTCCAGTTCATTGCTGTTAAAATACTAATACAGTCAATATCCTTGCACATGTTTCTCTATGTCTAGGATTATTAGGGAACTAGAAGTGTGGTTGCATCTTCTTCTTGACTAGATACTGCCAAACTGCCCTGCTAAACACTCTTCTCATTTTTCTAAGGATGTTCAGATTTTTCTTGATTTAAGAGAGCTTTATTAACATTTTTTTATTATATACAGAATATATTTTGGCAGTAATCTTAATTTGTAAGTCTGTTTATAAAACAGGAATGACTTACATATCAGACAGATTGTGAAAATTAAGGGAAAGATTTTACTGTTACTGCACCATAGGCATTTCCCATCCTGTTTCTCTTTCTTAAACCAGTTATTCATGAAAAAAAATTAAAAACTATGTTGATAGTTTAACTCGCCTTTTTTTTTTCCATCTTAGGTTTCCCAAACCACTTCTTATGATCCAGTGAATATTCAAGAGAGCTCCATTTGAAGCCTGTACAAAAGCTTATCCCTGTAACACTTGTGCCATAATATACAAACTTCTATTTCTGTCAGTCCTTAACATCTACCTCTCTGAATTTTCATGAATTTCTATTTCACAAGGGTAATTGTTTTATATACACTGGCAGCAGCATACAATAAAACTTAGTAAGAAAAGTTGTTTTTTTTTTTTTGCATTATTATTGGTATTAAATACATGGTATATTAATCTGCTCTGAACACCTGAAGAGGTTAAGTCTGTAGAGTTTGTTCTGCCTACTCTTCTCACATAACTTAGGCTACACATCTGGCAAGACTGCTAGGGAATTAAAAGTAAACTGTGAACCTTTGTTCTTTTAAGGTCAGGAGGAGGCTGTTAAGTTCTACAGTTTCCATTCATGAGTTATTTATAGGGTTAACTTTGTTTCAGTGCCTGAATGGAGTACTACAGCACCAGGTACAAGAGTTCCCCCCTAACCTGGCCATAAAAAAAAAACAAAAAAACCCACCCCAAACCAGGAAGCAAAGATTAGCTTCTGTAATTGCAACTTTGCTTTAAACCTTGGTAGATCATTTTGCTTTAATCTTTTTACCCTTCTGAAGATTTAAGACAATGTTAAAACATTCAGAAACCTGGCCTCCCTTTAAGTTATTTATACTATGTGCCAGACACTGGATTAATAAATATCCAAAAATTCTATTAATTTTTTTAAAAAAATTAATAAAAACCAAGGGTTTCCTAGTGTTCATCATTTTATTCCTCTCATGTGTTCTATGCAAATGCAAATAGAAAAGTTAATCTGAATCTTGATTCCAACTTAGTCACCGTTACCCAAGAACAAGAGAATTAAACCTAAGCAATCACCAAAATAACTTTTATTTGTATTTTCTACATAAACACACAGTGGCAATTTATGGCATTTGGTAATCTGTCCAGACATGAAAGGTTTATGAAATCAGCAAATGCCATTTCGAAGAGTATTCTGTCAAAAATAATTTACCAAGCAAGATAGGCCTGTTCAGCAAAATCCAGTATTATTCTCTCAGTACTTTATAAATGGAATTTTCTTCTACTTGTATCCATTTCCCGGGGCTGATTGAAAGTGGAAAGGCGGGGGAGTGGTGGGAGAAAAGAAAACAAAAACATAATGAACAATTTAGGTAAGATAGTAAAAGTCAACGCCCCTAGATCTTTATCGGTAACACTAGTGTTGAAAAACTGCGTTTGTGTGAGAATCCAAATAGTCTTCTGCCTAATATAAAAGATGCTGGCTGTGTGTGTGATTTTAATAAAATGTTACCAAGTGAAGTACTGCTTATACTAGATAGAAAAGGATGTTTTAAAACATTGAAGTTTTCATTTATGATTTAAGATGATGAACTCCAAACTACTAACAATAGTTCTCAAGAAACATGCAGAAGAGTTGCATATAACACAGGCTTTTATAAACAGATTGCTGGGCCCCACCCGCTAAGTAAGTTGCTGATCCAGTAGGTCTGCAGGCCAAAGAATTTTCATTCCTAACAGGTTCCTAGGTAATGGTGCTGGTCCCACTTTGAGAACCATTGTTTATATTTCAGATAAACCAAAGTTAATCACCAGACCCAGATATTGTTATCACATGGTTTTCAGTTCAGGGGTGCATGTGCAGGATGTGCAGGTTTGTTACATAAGTAAATATGTGTCACAGTGGTTTGCTGAACAGATCATTCCATTATCTAGGTATTAAGCTCAGCATCCATTAGCTATCTTCCTGATGCTCACTCTCCTTCCACCCTCTTATCCCATACTTTTAAAATTACTTAGTTTTTTCAAACAATAAGCACTTACCTTATGGACCCATTCATACTCCCCATATTTAGAATCAAAAGTTCCTTTCTGAAGAGACCTTAATTTTAAGGTAAAACGTGGTCCAAGTTCCTGAATTCCCACTTTCTTTTCACTCCTGAATATGTATCTTCAAAGACAAAAAGTTAAATTGGTCTGAATGAGCTATTGTTTAACATGACAGGGTTCAAAAGGTAATTCATTGTATCCTGTATGATACTTGCTACAATATAATGGAAAATTAGTTCATGTTGAAATTATTGAAGTCCAACGAGTTTACCTTCCTCACCTGTGAAATCTGAAGAATATATAATCCCGTTGATTGTGGAATGTGGCAACCTGCCTTCCAATGAATTGAGGATTATGAGGAAAGACAGATGCAAACATACGTCCAATTGAATGACCCAGCCGTGTTGTAAAATTATTCAGAATTATTTCAGGTATGTGTTCTGTAGGGTCCTTACCTCTTCTCTAGAAAAATAATGAAAAATAGCACTATGAGCTAAGCTAATTGGCAACACCTCTCAATGCAATTTTAAGTATCAAAATTTACATGACAAATTTGCAAAATTCATCTTTAATGACCAACTACCACAGATGGCTTGTCAAACAAACCCATGAATTAAGATGTATCTAAAATGATTTTAATATGCACTGAATGCAACAAAAAAAGTTCTATAAGAAAATCAACATGCTTCATAATAATGAGGGCTATTGCCTGCTGGCTGTCACTTAATCACAGTCTCCCAAGAAAACTGATAGATTAAAAACTGCTTTAATTGGAACAAATGCCATTATTAAATTAGAGCTGTAAGACACAGCAACTATTAAATACTGTGAAGAGATCAATGCCAATCAAGGAATTCATAAAACTTACCTTAATTTCTTTACGAAGACGAACACTGCTCATTTTAAAATGAGCAGTTGGGCCATTTGGCAAGTGACTCAAAATAAGTCCATCTGTTCATAGTTAAGAAAAACACACTGAACTCCATAATCTAAATCTAATTGTTTAAATAACTGGTCCTCTACATCCAAAGGCCCCTAAAATCTGTACCCAAGTGAATAGGCAGATGTATACATTCTTCTGGGGTTAAGTGACATTTTCCTACAATATCAAAAACTCAAATCAGTCAAAATCTTTCAAGAAAATAGACTAACCTAGAGTAGTCCCTTTCTTCTCTTTTTACAATATAATCATCATCACCCTCAATAGGGTATCATAAGGTACCCCAAACTCAAGTAGGTGAAAAGAAGCTAATTGACCAGTACTCTTGGGAGTAAAATAGGATGGGATTCTACAATCATGTAACATTGCAAATAGAATATAAGTTTACCTCCATATTCTGAAGATTTATAACCCCAAAATATCACTTTTATAAACTTTTATGGTCAGAATATGCTGTCAACTCTGAATAACATTCCATGAGACTTGACTCCTAAGCTTTCTTCTATGAAATTAAAGTTACTAGTATTTTGCAAGAGATTAGCCCTTACCTAGGATTGCTGTACCACAAATTATAATCAAACCAATTAATAGCCACATTCACTGATTGTCATTTCCCACTGAGAATTATGCTAGACACCCTAAACTACAAATGAAATGTAAGATCACCTACCTACCTACAACCAGCAGGGCTTTCAGCCCAAGGGCTCTAGAAGTCCTGGGGTGCTAGAAACTAAGATTGCTACCTATATAACATTCTTCAGGTTTTTATAGCACAATCTGAGCTTCACTTGAAACAACTTTACTTTTCATGAGTAATTCTTGACTATTGCTTAATGGCATTATAAGCAGGCATACTAATGGCAATCAATAGGGCTTTCACTTTATATTATGCTTTCTAGTTTAGGAGAAATTTTTAAGCACATTTCATCTGATTCTTTCAACAACTTAAACAGGTCAGAATCAGACTTTCAAGTCTGTCTGCACACAATACATTATCTTTCAAAACAGATGTTGCCATATTTTTACAATGACATAAACATTAATTCATCCAGATTAGAAGCTATGGCATCTTCAACTTCTTCTCCCACCAAATCTTAACTTTTACCTTCAGAACTTCCTTACTTAGCATCCTCTTTACCCTTACTGTCTTAATGAGGTCCTCGAGATTTTCCACCTAGATTATTAAAGCAGTTACCATGGTTGGTCTGACCTTTTTTCTCACCATCTCAAGTACATCTCCTAAAATGAAGTCTGAACTTAGGCCTTGGTTCTATAAGTAACTAGCTATGGGACTTGGCTGTTTCATTCTAACTGCACCATAGTTTCTCAAGTGCTAAGTGAAACTAGATCATCTTGACAGCTGTAGCTAATTTCATACTACTCTGTCATCACAGACTCATCTACAGAAAAAAGACATTAGTATGAGATAAGTATACTAATGAGTATGAGCCTCATACTAACCACAAACCACCTTTCCAATCTGTTTCCCCTATGCCCACACCAAGCTGTTTCCTAACTGGTAGGCATTCACAGTCTTATGTACTATGTATGTTAATCCTAGCATGCATTTTTTGCTTATACTATCTTTAATACCTGCAATGTTTTACTATCTATTATGGTCTACTTCATTCAAGTCACCTTTTTATGCAGTCGGAATTAAGATCTAAATCTTCTCAGTTCTCACTGTTACCCTAGCACTCATCACTTGAGTTACAGTCAGGAAAACACCTTTCTTCCCATCTCTTAACACTTAGATAGAAATGGGATTTTTTTTTCTTGTTTTGTTTTTTTGAGACAGGGTCTCACTCTGCAGCCCAGGCTGAAGTGCAATGAATGGCACGACCGTGGCTCACTGCAGCCTCAAGCTCTCGGGCTCAAGCAATCTTCTCACCTCAACCTCCCAAGTAGTTGGGACTTACAGGCGTGCCATCATGCCCGGCTAATTTTTGTAGAGATAGGGTTTTGCCATGTTGCCCAGGCTGCTCTCAAACTCCTGGGCTCAAGTGATCCACCTGCCTTAGTCTCCCAAAGTGCTAGGACTACAGGCAGATCTTTTTTTTCTTTCTTTTTCATTCTTTTTTATTTAATTATCTTTTGATCTTTTTAAGATATTAGTGCCTACCATATAGCAGATTATCAGCAAACATTTGAATTCTATCCTTTTTAAAGATTCACCACAGGCTAAACGTCATGAAATACAGCCAAAAGTATTTATTAAGGGGTTTAGGAGATACGAAAGTCATTTCTTCCAACCTCCAAATCAAGGCTTAAATTCTTTATAGAACATTCCCACTAAATTGTGGTCTGTGTCAAAAGCAAAGTACAAAATCCAACCATACCAGTTTCTAAATAACTTCTTTTCCTGAGTACCTGCATTGTGCAAGAGGCTTTATTTACATTACT